CCTGTTTTTATTGCATTTGATAGAGGGAAGGAGAAGCAAGATGGAAAGGCATTATTTCCAGTGACAGGTGAAATACAATCTCAGTCTCCTGCTTAACTCAGCACATTAATAACCAGTATTTCTGCTTTCATTTTTACCATGATCTGTAAGTGTCGTCGGTCCTCAGGGAAACATCTGACAATTTACCTTTTCTCGTGGGCTCTCCTGACCTCAGCGCTTCTAAGCTTCTGTCCAATCTTAGGAAACCGTATTACCTGAAAACAGTTCTTCGTTTAACATTAAGAAAAGTGCTCGGGAAATGTCGCCTTTACAGGTGGAATTATTAGATTGAAATCAGAGTTCAGTACTCTTTAATACTACATAATTTTTTTGTCTCAAACTGATGCCATTTCGATCACCTTCTAAATCATTCCGGTTCAACATTTTTTTCTGGCCCAAATTCTATAAAAATAATGAAAACACACAAACAAATAAGATGAACGAAACCTGTATTTTAAGTCAAACACATAGAAGGTGACCTTTCCTGCCAAAAAGAACTGCAAAAAAGACCTCGTTGAATAAAAACTATGTTACGTTTTTTCTGACTCTAATAGCCAGATGCCGTGTTTGTGCGCCATAAAATAACCCAGTGGGGATGATGGAAGCTCATTGGCCGGGATCCCTGAGTTAGCCCTCACATTGGCCTGACCGGGGTCAATACAGTGAGCCAGCAGACAGCCCATGTGACCTGGCTTCCTACCACTGGAGATGTCTGAGATGTTCCAGCCCGCTCAGAGAGCCCTGCTGTGTCTGGCATGAGGTGCCACATGATTTCCAGAAGACACTTGACTTGGTCAGTCCTATCTTAGAAGGTGGGGTTTTACTGAACAGCTCATGAAGTCAAAGCTGTATGATTTTTCAGTGTAACTTTTCCACAGATCAATATATCCTTTTAAATAAACCACTTCAGTAAACAGCCTTTCTTGCCCTGAAAATGTAATCCACATGAAACAAAATTAATTTTTAACAGCATTCTATGAATAAACATCATGCATACTTCTTATATTATAGTGCAAAACATAATTTAGAGTAAAAAAAAACCATGAGACAGTAAAAGCTATACTGAAATATAAAATCAATTAAATATCCATTGCTATTCCTGTGAACCAAATTATATTTAAAATGTTCAGTGTAAATGATTTATAAGTATCATTTAGAAGACTCAATTTGCAAAATCCTTCAACTAAGTTATCATCTTGAAAAATATATAAACCATAATCTGAGTATAATTACAAGAATCCAGCCTCAATGTGGAATAAAGCACACATGTATGGGTATTTTAAGAGAAAGTTTTCGCTAATTTCATTGTTCCTCTTCACAGACAAACATGTGAACTCGCAATATCCACCATCAGTGGATTTAAGCTTGATTACGACAGAGCAAGTGGCCTTGAGGAGCTGGAAGCACTTGTCAGGAATATCCCCGCGTTCTTCATCGAGGTAGTCATCCTCCCGGTTTGATACAGACTGACACTACAGTCATAGTTTAATCTCCAGAGACATGAGGATTCATTTGTAGCAATTAAGAGGGACGTGGGAGACAGCAGGTTTGCGTTAGAGATCTTTACACCACGCAGACACAAACACACAAGTAGCACCCTGCTGGATCACGTGCTGCATGAGAGCACAGAAAAACTGCATCACTGTGCTCAAGCCAGCCCTCGTTTTAGATCTGAACTGGGCCGGCCGCACTCTGAGCAGGAGCTGTATGACATACGGTAAATACTCGGCCTTTTGAACCTGTCTCATACTCCCACTTTGTGTCACACAGAATCCCAGACACAGAAGCGTGGACTCATAGGGCTTTAGATCGATGGTTGGACCGTCGCCAAAACAGTCGCCTCTGTTTGAACACAAGAATAACATTGTGGCCTCTCTGCTGGTCACCGCTGCCCAGAGGTCAAGCCGTGGCCCGTGACAAAGTGCCCTGGGGCTCTTTCTGACTGCACCTCAGCTCGGACTCCTGAGCCGGGACCAGCCCAGAAGCCTTTGGTGATATTTTTTTAGGCAAGACCCAGAGGGCGAGCTGATGGGTCTGAAGCTTGATATTCGCTAGTCCAGTGTTTCTCAATCCAATCTTCAGGGACCCACAGTCAGTCCACATTTTTGCTCCCTCAGGAGCAAAAACATGGACTGTCTGTTGGTCCCCGAGGACCAGTTTTTGTCTAGTCAAAGCAGGGGGTGATTATTTTTTTGTCTTTTCAGTGTTATCTGTTACTTTTCCATACATAATGACTGTGTTATAGAGGACAGCTTGGGTTCTGCTGGTGTCGGCTCAGGATGAGGACTGTACTGCACTACCAGGCACTGGCCAAACCGAGGTATCTGTCCCTTATTTTTCCACAGTATGTCACCCAGCTTCTTAAAAAACACACAGCCTCTGAGATGTGTAGGCTGATGAGTGCAGCTGTCAGAGATTTTGAAATTAAACGTGTTATTTTTACAGTCTCCCCTGCGTGATATTCAAAGAGCTTTATGTCTTATTTTCCACCGCATGCAAAGCAGGAGTGGTCCGAGATTTTCCGTCGCAGAGCGTAGGGTCCCAAACCTCAGTCTAGTATTCCACCTGGCCTTAAATTACACCCCATACTGAAGTGCTGTGTCACATATCCATCCACAAAAATACGAGATTTGTCCCACATTTCTGTACACATTGCACACTTAGCAAATTTTTCCCCCATCACCCATTCTACCGGTGAAATCTTTTTACAGTGTAAACCAATTTGTGGACGTCAAACGGTTGGGCACCCCTAGAAGAGAGGACTCAAGTAAAATTCATTTCAAGAGGGAGACTGAGATCACACCCTTCTCATATTAGGTAAATTATTGGGGGCGCTGTGTGCATCAGGACACTGTGCTTGTGATCAAATGGTCACTGGTTCAAATCCCAGGCTCAGCAGAGTGATGTCACTCTTGGGTCCCTGAGCAAGGCCCTTAACCTGCCACTGCTCCAGGGATGGTCTGACCCTGCTTTCCCAAAAATGTATATCACTTTGGGTAAAAGTGTCTGCTAGATAAATTAAATGTAAATTAGCCACAACACCCATTTCGACTAGAAAAGTCTGCTGAGGATGCAGCTGGGGATATCTGGGGGACAATGGACACACCCACAATTCACCTGCAGGCAGGATCTCATCTGCACATGAAACGCTTAAAGGAGCACCTCTCGCTGATGATCGCATAGATGTCTGGGTCACGACCCCACATCTAGCGCGGGGGATGATCATTTGTGCAGTTAGCTGCTGACTCAACACTTTTATATTGAAGTGTGTTATCATTTTTACCCGTTTAAACAACAGAGTTTAGCTGGTACAGACATACATCGAGAAACTGCTTACCTAGTACAGTGTTGTGTGTGTGTGGGGGGGGGGGGACTGGATCCTATACCATGCTGGGACGTTAGCAGGCACCATTAGGTGTTTTCCCATAATGCTGCAGTGCTCCATATAACTAAGACAGATGCCTGTCAATCAGGTCTTCAAGCCACATGGCCTTATTTAATACTGATATAAAGGGGCTCTGGGGGTGACCAATCAGCTGCTGTGTGAGATTACACAACACATGTAGAAGTCAGGCCTCCGCAGCCGCAGAATCGTCCACTGGGTGTTACTCCTAATCACAGCACAGTGACATCCCAATATAACTAAATTCATATCGTAAAACCTGAACCTCAGAACAGCATTTTATTTTGCTGTTAAAAATAGAAAATAAATAATAACTGGCAGGCATCTCCAGTACATTTAGTTAGAAAAGGTGGAGGAAAATGCTTCAAGCAAACGCCTCAGGTCACAAGAGGCTAGCCAGTAACACTTCATTAAATTTCATTTTGACCAGGTTACATGTGATCTCTCCATATTTTCATTTAGCACGCATTAGTTGATAATAACCTACAATAGACCAAGCAGCAACTACAGACCATACTAAATATCATTAAGAAAGGCAAATCTGAAGGGCATCTATTAAACTTTTTTCAAGCTTTACATGTCCAAAGACAAAATCTTAACTCGTCTAGAATCATACGTTCATTAATGGCATAAAACATAAACTAGGTTTTACTTACTCTAGTAACTACTGCAAAGTAACACGGGTCCATATCAGTCTTCATAACTCAGATTATAGACGCTGTGTAAACCTGCATATATTTTAGTTACTAAATTACATTAAACTCACCAACATAAATACATTAACTTGTTATCCAAAGTAGGTGTCTGAACGAGGTCTAAATTAATATATTCAAACTGCATGTTATTGTGGTCAAGATAAGTCATTGTAGTGTTCTAAGAAAATTTAGCATATACATATATTTCCTAGAGAAAATATTAGTCACAACACTTTACATCTCATTTTATGAGACACAATTGGGAAAGCAAACGCAAAATATTCTGATCGAAGTTCAAACGCGTAAGTCGTAAAAACTGGAGGGAACAGAGATTTAATACATTTTTATTATACTATTATTAAAGATACTGTAAACAGATCACGTCGACTGTATAACAGCGGGCTGAATAAACAGGAAACTGCGCTAAAGCAGTGTGCGCTTTCGGTACTAAGCAGAGCAAAACAAAACCAGCATCCCTTCTTCACCTTCCTGTCTTATTATTAAATTATCGGATTTAAAAAGTGAGCGTTATGAAAAACGCTGGCATTACGTACAACACAGAGATAAAGAATCATTAAAGAGCGTTATCTGAGTATTCATACAGAAACCAGTGCTTTCTGTTAGAATATTTTTCCAGTTAGTCAGCTAATGCTGTCTTGACATTTAAAAACAGCACATCTGCATTAACGGCCCCACACACCCCTGTCCGGCTCTTTCGGCACTTTATCCCCGCAAGACGCGACTTAACACGGGCACGTAGCGACCCTCCACCTGCTCCGTCTGCAGCGATGAAACTGCTGCCTCCGTCAAAGATCTCACATCAACGACATAATGCATCGCTAAAAAAGGAAAAGCCGCCTTACCACCGTCCGCTCAGTCCTTACTCCCCATCGTTTGCATTTCTTCGGCTTCCCTTATAATAAGCCCTTATAATAAAGGCGGCTGGGAAATCGCCCTACCCGCGCCGGCTCCGCACCGCTCCGCTAACCCCCGTGTCATTCCCCGCTGCACCAGCAGCACAAAGTCACTCCTCCCCCGGCATCCTGACGTCAGGGGCCGGCCGCATCCAGTCTCCTCCGATTCAGTTCGCCCGTTTCAGCGTCAGTTAAAGCCGGGAGGTGGGCTTCCCTCTACGGGGGGTTGGTGGGCGTGAAAATGGCGAAGGAGCTCGTCTAACACTCCTGGCTGCATAGCTGCACGTTTGTGCTGAGCCAGAGGATGGCGCTTGGTGCCTTCACGGCACGTCGGACTCTGTAATGATGTCTAACGATTTCCCGGCACGGGCCTGTCGCTCTCATATTGGGTTACACAGTTTTCTCAGAATCTGGAGGGCACGGTGTTATAGGAGTGCCTTGCTGTCATCCGTAATGAGGACAAGTCAGTTGATAAGACTGTACTTTTAGTGTCCTAAATAGTTTGGTGTCCTAAATACAATGGCATGCTGAAGTGTGGTCCTGTGGTTTTAATCCAGGTCATCTGTACAGCATGTGGGCAGCACAGTGGCCTCACACCTCTTGGACTGGTGGCCGCGATTCCTGACCAGAGCTCTGTGTGTGTCTGGGTGGTCAATGTATTCATTACATTGTGGGGAATTAAGTATTCCTACAATGTGATTAAAAAAACTGTTATTTTGACCTTGTGGGGACCATTTCTTTTATAAAAACAAGGGTAAAGATTCTTTTATAAAAATCTGTGACTGTAATAAAAAAACAAAAATGCCAAAAGTCTTGTATTTTGTTTAATTACTTATGGTTAAGGTTAGGGCTGGGTGGGCTTTAGGTCGTCATTGTTGGCATTTGGGGTTTTCCCATAGAAATGATCAGACGGTCTATACAAAGATATGAGTGCAAATGTGTGTGTGTGTGTGTGTGTGTGTGTGTGTGTGTGGAGAGAGAGAGGGAGAGTTTGCAGGTTTTCTAATGTTTCAGTGAGTTTTCTTCTGGGGGGGGGTGAGAGCACTTCGGAAACATATCAACCGCATTCCTGATATATGTGGGCATTTCAAAGCATCAGTGGAGAAACTGTTTAGATAAAGAAATCAATATGAGCACAGTTAGTGTTCTTTGTCCATGTAAGCCCTCTCGGTCATTTCCATGTGGTTGACTAGTTTGCATTTTCTCGCACTGTAACAGGATGCTTTGGAACACAGAATGCTGGATTGGTCTATACTGACCCAACCACTGTGCTGTGCAGAACCAAGGGCCACTCCGATCAGCATCATTAATAATTGTTGCAAAATCACCACCACAAGACAGGAGCTGCCCTAACCCTTGGTAAGCTGCTGATTTATGCTTTACGGACCTGGGAAGAGAGTGATGTGCTACATGATTGGCGGCACTGAAATAATAATGTATTTATCTAAAGAATTGGGGCCTGTATGTTATCTATATTACTGTGTTGTTCTAATGCTACCTGGAGAAAGCTTCCTTCTGGACATCACTAAATGACAGCTTAATTTTTCTGTAGGCATGATGGCCCTTTGGGGGAGACTGTGGCTGTGATCGGAAGGTCACCGGTTCAAATTCCAGGGCCAGCAGACTGATGTCACCATTGGACCCTTGAGCAAGACTCTTAACTCTCGATTGCTCCAGGGCCAGCAGACCACTGGCGTGACACTGCACTCCTAACCCAAGCTTCATGGTGCGTTCGTTTTTCTCTCGGAACTCGGAAATTCCGAGTTGAGTGACATCACGTCCGACAATCTCCCGTTCGAGCTACCACATCTCGGAACAAACATGGCTGCCTCCATGTATCCGTTTTACGTCATCTTCCGTTGCCGAAGAGCAGTTCCAATACTAAGAAGTAAAGAGGAAGGTAAAAATCCTTAGATGTTGATCTTGCTCCACCCCAAATATCAAGGATACATCATTTGCATCCTCGCCGAACGAGAGCGATACCATGATTCATTGTGCCCCAAGTTCATTCCTGGAAGGCAAGTTAGCAAGTACGGCATTTGCATTCTTGGTATTGAGATTTACCCACTGCCTGTCTGCATGGGGTGCGTGTGGGACGTTTCTAGATTGGTGGTTTGCTTCTGTGGCCCAAAGTGTATGTAGGTAGGGGAATTGCGGTCTCTGGACTGTGTTTGGGCTGGGCCTCGAAAAACGGTTATGGAAGATGATGGATGCTTTCTTTAAAAAGGGGTTATATTTTATAGAAGAGAAGTCCCATCCAATTGTGAGACGGTTTGTCTTAATATCCCTGGAGGAACAGTGCTAGTTATCTTTGTGCTGAAGGCAATCCCCCTGTTTACCAGACAGCGAGACGGCAGGAGGCGGCAGCAACGGGGTAAGTAGAGTCACTCCATGCAGCTGGTGCTGGATCCGGGAGGCCGACGTGTTACATGGGGGCTGCAGTTTGCACAGCTCCTGCCATGAAGAAGTTATAGAAGGAGCCGGAATCTTACGGGCCCCGTGGTGAATAGCTTAGCTCTGCCCTGCTGGGGATCCCACGGTCAGTGATGGGTTCTAGACCCACACAGCCCAACCTGCACAGCATCTGCGTCCTGGATCATCAACTCACTCATTTTATGTCAAATGATTAGACCATATGAAGAATCTTGGCAATTCAGCAGCTGTTTATAGCATTAATTAGGAAACATTTGGACTGACACTAGATGATTCATGACCAATGTACTTCTTATAATACAGATTATAGTCTGAGCAAAACAATTAGATAGTTGCCTTTTTTGTCACAACAAATTTCAACTACATTTAACATTGCCACCTAACTAGGATGACCACCTTAATCCATGTCAGAAAGGACACTATGAGTTACTTCAGGTTTTACAGACTATTTTAACTGAAAGGCTCCCGTGCTCGGCTGAGTAATTCAGATCTTCTTGCACTTTTACTGGTTTGTTTCTATGATTGAAAGACTCATCCAGCTGTTTCACATTAACATTAGTGACACATGCATGATTATAGGCGACTAACCAATCAGCACACAGCAAGAACTCAGTGCTTAAGTAAAATCCAGGTCCTTTTAATTGAAATGGTAGTTTACAAATCCTGTCCTAGCTCAAAGTGTCCTCCCTGACATGGATAAGGTGGTAACCGTAGACTGAATCTCTGTAGAACATTGTAGCCATACTGATGGTAAAATAGTCTGAAAATGACACCATATCCAAGACTGGCTGACAGCTACTCCGCTGTGAGCAGCCCTCTCTGTGCTGTGCTCCAGCAGTTAAAACTGGGCCCTGTCTGGATGTGCCCCTCCTTCTCCCTCCTCCACTCCACCAGGCCTCATGTGAGATTCAGTTCCAAATGATTTGGGTCACAATTTCACGGCCGAGCTGGTGGCAGGAATGTGCGGGAAGGACTCGGGCCCATCAGGCCGACGGGGGCTCACAGCAGAAACGTAAGAGCCACAGCTATGCTCCCACTACCGATCCGAGTCTCCGCTCGCACCCGGGTTCGTCCCGAGTCCTGGAACACCAAACCCGAAGCCCCCTCTTGGACTCCCAGCCAATCTGACAGTTCTCCCTGGATTAATATCTAGCGAAACACACTTTTTTTTTTTTTTAGTTACGGCTTCCCGTCAAGAACTAAATGACGCAATAAACGACAGACTGCTGTAAAATTCTCGCATTGAGAGGCGACTCTCAGCGACTCACTTCCAACCCCCCGCTGCTCATTGACCTGCGGTGAACACAAAGAGCGACGCTCTGTGCTCAGATGCGACAGCCTGCCATGCAGACGCCCCCAGCTGGCAGACGCTGAGGACGGTGTGACACGTCATGTGTGCTGGAGGGCAGGGGACAGGAGTGGGGATGTGACAGCCGTCTTGAGCGGGGGTACATCGGTACGTGCCTTCAAACTCACGGCTCAACTCCATATAAACAGTAATCGCCTTCCTTCCTGGGGTGGATGGGAAGTTTCTTTCATAGCAGTACTGTGCTTGAATATGTAAAAACTCCTGGTGCATTTCACCTTTAATTATTAAAGATGATGAAGATAATTGCCAAGTGATTCTAGACATTGGCCATAGGAACATAGAGGGAGGGGGAAGACTGTAGAACCAGCTCAAAAATACTGTATAGAAAAAAGGATATTATGAAAAGGCAAAATAACACGAGCATTCCCATTAAAAAAAAAAAAACATTTACATAATATGTATAGAGATAACTGAGGTATAACCGCCAGCTTAGTCACGGAAATGCATTGTTTTCAGTCAGATTAGCACCAAACCAAAACTAACTAATTTAAGCAGTGGCAGTGTTCAGTGCCCATAGCTGGGAAAATGGACAAAATTGGGAAAGTCCTTACTAACCCACACAGGTGAAAATCTAGAGAAATCTCAGCCTGCAGTAAACTAAGTAAAAACATGTGACATTAAAAAGTGTAACATCAAACTACTGTTCACTAATGCTTAGCTAAGTAGAGATGCGATTATATAAATGTTTTCATCCAGATGAAAGTGAAATGAAGTGAAATTATTCCAGAAATAAAAGGTTACGTTTTTCTATTTTTTCTTACATTTAACACTTGAATCATTGTCTTTTGCTAGTAAACGTTTTCTTGTATTAATTATAAAACCATAGCTAGAGCAGAGACTTTAAACAAATCATTCTCAGCCATCTTATGACCCGACATATTTCCCCAGCATCATGGAAAGATATGAGAAACGTTTCCTTAATAAAAATTTAAGAGGTGAATAAAACTAAAATTTGAAACATTAATGCATCCCTTCGCTTTGCATACGAACACGTCTCTCTCAGAACAATTTTACAGCCATTACTTACCCAAAACAGCACACTTCACATAGGTAAATTTATTTATTCATTTAGTTTTATCATAAAAAAACACCACAGATGTATAAATAAAAATGCATTAAAGAAATCAAACAATAACTAACTGAAAGTAGCTGGCTATGAAACTCATTTAAAATGTCCTGCCAGGTCTGGGGGCCTCCCTCATCCCTTCGTCGGTGGCATATATACAGAAATCACAGTAATAAATTATAAATATATACAGTCCAATCTGTTGGCTTTTTTCTTCATTGGATAGAGGCACACATCTGCTCCACCATTCATTCAGCAGCATTGGAGCCGGTATCTGAAAGAGATCAGAAAAATCATTTGTTCATCAGATGTTCATCGAGGTTAATAACTTCCTTCCAAGCCAGGTGAAACTTTTCATGATGACTTTTAAAGAGTTTTGACCCTTCCAGACAGATCAACCCATGAGGTTTCATTATCCTGAACTATGTTACAAATCAAGAACT